CGAGTATTTTTGGCCATCGTTTTTTTTTAACTAATCTGATGGGCTGCCCTATACGATCCCTCCTATAATATATAGGCCTCATGTATGGTGGAGGTACTCAACTAGGTGTAAGGTATTCCTCCTATCTTAATCTGACACGTTCGAGTAAATCCCGCAATCCCTTCTAGGGCTCCCCTACTATAGATATTATAATTCGGCTTCTAGGTAGCACACGAGGTTAAAACATCCACCAGATTTAAGGTAAATACTAGCAATACCACTGTGAAAACTCCATCCAAATTCATTAATTAGTTTTTGCATTTGGCGCATAAGAATAATTTCTTATTCTGTATTCTGTCTGTCTGTATTCTGTAATACAGACAGACACAAAAATTCTAAAAAAAATGTATGTACAGCCAGTGAATCCAAATCCAATTTTTCTACTGCATTTGCAACAGGTACGAGACTTTTACATAATTGATCAATGTAGGATATAAATATGATAGAGTAGTATATATATGATAGTATTTCCTAAGGATTTTGGTGGCATGCACCAGATCTAACTCGGCTGCTCTAACCATTATAATGATTTTCACCAGTTTCCGTTTAAGGTAGTGAACCGTGTATATTTAACCTTGTACTTCTTAGTGGTTAAAAAACCACTAAGAAGTACACTTTCGAGGTAGCACGGTCTACATCGTCAACTTGTTTTCGCTCACTTAAATGAAATTAAAGTGAAGTACCATTCGCAAATTACACTAATGCATCTTGAACACTTAAAACGATTATACTGCCTCTAGAAAGAGCTGAAAGTGTAAAAAGAGAAGGAGGATTCTAAAAGTAGCCACCTCCCCCACCTTTCCTATTTCCCACAACTATATTATATAAATCGCTCAAGGTGATGACTGTCCGTCAAATTTTCATTTATCACACATTACTAAAACAACATACATTGCTTACCTATCACGCTGATATTTCTAACAAAAGACGGAAAGATATAGTCTGTGCCTCACAATCAAAGTTCATTGTTTCTAATAGATTATTTTCTTTTCTAAAGTCGTCACAAAATAAGAAGCCCGTTTTGACGTTTCTCATTTGACATGCCGCGATAACTTTGTATGTACGTCTATGTAAGAAATTGAAAAATCAAATTCATAATCCTATTTAATTACTATGTTACCCATACACTATCTTTTATTAACTTTATATTGAAAAAATGCACTCATAAACATGAATTAATCGTTGATTAATATTCCGACAGGACTTTACTACAATGTCATGTCTTTGGGTTGGTTGCCGTAGTGTTGTAACCGTTAAAACGCCGTTTTATGGCCGAATAAAATAGAGTTTCTGAAAATCGTTTACAAAAATTACATTAAAAAAAGAGATAAATGTGTAATTAGTGTATTATTTAATATTTAAACATATAAAAACAAAATCTGATCACATATAGTTTTAGCCTTATTTTGATATTTAATATGAATATTTTGATATTATACTAAATGATTTGGTTAAAAAACCCGGAGTGTCTACTCCGGGTTTTTTAACCAAATCATTTCATCATGATATTGAAAAAAATAATTCATCCTCATTTTTCTGTCTCAAACGTCATGTCTCATTTTGCAACAGTCACATTTGACAACAGTCCTTAAAAGCCAGTCTATAAAAGAATTATCAAAGCCGTACATAATTTGTTTCCTTTCTCTATGTACCTATAGAATGGTTTGTTTATGACCAAGCGGCACGTGATCCATGCGCGTACCGCGTACTGCGCAGTCTTTCGTTCGACATCTTGTGCGCTCGTTTATGTTTGATATTTTTTCTAGACTCGGCTTTGCTTTTGGACTGTTTTTGTTTACTATCACGTTGACCTTGACTCTTCTATTCCGGACATTGATTAGACATATAGCGATTTGGACTCGATTTTGGTGTTTGTTGTTATATTGTACAAACTCTGTTTCAACATGTCGAAAAGAGGACGTACAATGAACAGCCAATGACGCGAATTGGTTGTGAAGTTAACTGAATACTTCGAACGCGAATCAGTTAATGGTGGACCATTATTACCCGTAACTCAAGTGCAAGATCGCATAGCAGAAGCACTTGGAATCGGCAAAAAAACTATTCGAACCATTTTGAAGGAAAAGTATGGGTCTTCCGGTACTGAAGAAAATGTGTTACATATAAGAAGAGGAAGAAAAGCAAGCCTGTAACAGGTATTGACACATTTGACGCAGATGCTATTCGAAACCACGTATATGCTTATTACACGAGAAGTGAGTACCCAACTGTAAGTAAGTTGGTGGTATCACTAAGAGAGGCTGGCCTGTTTAGTGGCAGTGCAACATCTTTAATAACAATTATGAAGCAAATTGGTTTCAAATACAAGAAAACCGACAAGAGGAAAATTATGATGGAACGATACGATATAATTTTGCACAGAGTATCATTCTTGAGGCCAATGAACAAAATTACGAATTGGGATAATGTCATATTTATCGATGAAACTTGGCTGAACTCGAATCATACCGTGCCACAGTCATGGACGGATGATACCAAGGCATCTTGTTCAAAAGTGCCAAGGGTAAGGGTGGACGCCTAATAATCTGCCATGCCGGACCAGCCGGGGGAGGTTTTGTGCTCTACTCGCATTCGAGTCCAAAAGTACAAAAGAATACCACGAAGAAATGGATGCAAATAAATTCTTAGAGTGGTTTACTAAGTTGTTAATAAACCTCCCCGAACAGTGCACAATAATTATGGATAATGCACCTTACCATTCAGTTCAAATAGATAAGGCACCTACTCAAGCAAGCAAAAAGGCAGATTTAGTGGCGTGGTTACAAAGAAAAAGCGTAGAACCTGACATGAATTTATTGAAAGCTGAACTGTTGGAATTATTAAAACAAAATAAACCTGCAAAATTAAGATATAAAATCGATGAATTGGCACTTCAATATGGTCACAACTTGATAAGAACGCCGCCGTACCAATGTCAGTACAATGCTATTGAATTAATCTGGGCTCAGGTCAAAGGATACGCAGCACGTCATAATAAAAAGCCACCATTCTCCACTAAGAATATGATGACATTGTTAAAAGAAGCTTGTGATAAAATAACTAAAGAAGATTGGGCAAAAGTGGTAGAAAAGACGCGAAAAATAATAAAGGAAGATTATGATAGAGACGTCAATATTGATAATATTATAGAAAATGAAATAATAATATATACAGACGACGATAGCTCATCTGGCTCGTCATCAGAAGAAAATGATTGATTTTACTTTTCTTGATTTTGTTGTGATTGAACTAAATTTTTAAATTAAAAACAAATTGACATTTCTTTCCATTGTATCATTTCAAATTGCCTATAACATTAAAGTTTAAGTATGTATGTATAATAATGTTCTAATTATAACTTAAATCCAATGCACTTTGTGATATATAGTCAAATCAATCAAATACTCTACAAGCCTGAATCGATTTATCGTAAGTATCGTGCATCGAGTCGTATGGTTATAGTGAAACCGCCGTAAGCTTGACCCTCCTGATGGTTTGGGGGACGCGGGGCGGGGGTGCATTCAACCAATTAGCTAGTGCGTCGCTGTCCGCCGGCAGTGACTGACGTGAAAGTATGGCTGTACGTGTTATTTTTCTTAAGACTGCTACACACGGTATTATTTTGCAACATGGATAATCTGCCGACTCTGCGTCACAAAAAGATTTAAAAACTTGAAGTTCGGCTTACAGAGGTTCTACTGTTAAAGTTCTAATAAAGAATATTTATTATTTTACTTAATTTTTAAATTGTATCTGAATATAATTTACATGATGAAGATAAGGTGATTTTATTAAAATTATTTTACAGTATTAAATTTTACAATTAATCATAAAAACTTACAATATACTGACATTATAATACATGGAAATAAATTCGCTTTTATTACATCGTGTGTAGATTAAATCTCAAACAGAAAAATCTGAAGATATCGAGTTAGTACATCGTGTCATGTATAGCCGAGCGCATCACCCGCCCCGCGTCCCGCAAACCATCAGGAGGGCCAAGCTTACGGCGGTTTAACTACAATCACTAGTTACGCCACCATGACAAATGTCAAAACGGGCTTCTTATTTTGTGACGACGTAGGTCCATTTCTATATAATAGATTAAATCGAGAGATAAGTTTTTATAAATTAAATTATGTTAGATCTAAAAACAAATTATGTCATATGAATAAAGTGAGCAGTTACTTAAAATATGTAAATAAAAAATTTGCTGAATGGTCTTAGTGCATTATTTTTGACTCACTTTTATCACTGGTGTTGCTAGTTTCTTGTGTAGGCTTTTAAAATGTTATAGTTAAAATTTTAGTTATGTCGATTTATATTGAAAAAATAAGCATTTCTACGCCCTAGACACAGCTTCAACCTAGTTTGGGCAAACAAACAACAAATGTGTTTTATTTATAAATTAGAGAACCATTATTATAAATTATTTTACTCATCTAAATAAATATTATTATTATTCTCTTTATTTCATTAAAAATATACTTATAAATTACATTTTTAAATATATTTATGTACAACAAAGTACATTTAAAAATATATAGAATACAAAATACAGGGACCAAGATATCGGTGGTTGGACCCCAGAGACAGAAACCTCCTCACAATACGTGCCGTATCGAGAAGAACTGCTTTCTGCATCAGGTCCTTAATCCAACTGTCTGACGCGAGCCTCTGAAGATGTTGGTCGAGGCTCTTAGCAATTAATCTAAGGGTCGATAATAATTAATTATTATTATTTTCTTTGATGCGCTTCAGATTAATCTCTACTAATTAATTTATTGTAATGGCGAAACGCCTACATACGTTTAGTTTACATTTAGTCAGATATTAAATTTGAATTTACTGTAAAACCCCTGACGACTGCTTTAATACAGAAATTAAACTGCTGTAAAGAAACTGCATTAAAAAATTAACTATTGACGTATTATAAAATTGACTTTCTTTTATTCCAGATTAAGATCAGATTCTTCAGATTCGTCAGATAGTTCAGTAAGTGCACAGGAAGAAGAAGACGAAGAAAGAGAAGAAGAAGACGAAGAGAGACTAGAAGCCGAAGACAAAGTAGAAGACGAAGACAAAGTAGAAGAAGAGGAGGAAGAAAAAGAAGAAGAGGAAGAAAACGAAGAAGAGGCAGAAAAAATAGAAGACGAAGAAAAAGTTGAAGAAGGTGAAGGAGAAGACGACGAAGAAGAGAAAGACGAAGACGAAGAAGAAAAAGAAGACGACGAAGAAGAAGAGGAAGAAATGCCTCAGAAAGTGTCAAAACAATCAAAAAGTCAAGAGAAGCGGTCAAAAAACTCCTCCTCCACTCAAAAAGGCGAACCACCACCAGAACCGCTTATTAAAACTGGTCGAAAAACTAACAATTCACTAGCATCTGCTACGGGCCAGATTGTGATACCTGACAATGACGAGCCTGTCAGTAGCACACGAAAGAAATTAAAGACGTCACAAATGTAAATATATTTTCAATTCAAGTTTTAGTATATTCATCAAAATTTGTTTATTTATTGTACTTTCTTAAAATGACTTATGCTAATAATTTAAGACAGGTTTTTAATGAAGCTGTTTTGATATTTGAATTGTATTTCTAGTTTTGGACAAACAGAGGAGGATATCCAGACAGATATGTATAAGGTCCTGAAACAGCTTACTGCTCATGACGATGCCTGGCCTTTTATGGATCCAGTAGAAGAGGAATATGCACCAAATTATTATGCAGTTATACGACGCCCAATGGATTTGCGCAAAATCGAAGAACGTCTCGATAGTGGTTATTACACAGACTTTTCAATGTTTAAAGCAGATTTTAAACTTATTGTTAACAACTGTCGCCTGTATAATGGCCAAGATAATGGTAGGTTAAAATAAATTGGTCATATATGTTATTGAATTCCTTAAGTCAATTTTGCATTATTGTCATAATATATTTTGTTTATAGAGTATACAGTGATGGTCGATAATTTGCAAACAGCGTTTGATCGCTTGACTGAAAAATATATACACCGGCTTTCATCTTCTGACGAAGAAATTGCTGTCGAATATCAATTACCAACTCCTTCAAGAAAACATAAATTGAAAAGAAATGAATCTCCAAGTCACCATAAAAGGAAGAAACGAAAATCTAATTCTGATGCAGGTAAATATTATCATCAGGAATTTGTTAGATTAAATATTATAAAATAAACCTCATAAGCGCTGTCATTTAGCAATAAACATCTAACTTTACATGAGCTAGATGAATCTTTAAAATTTGCAAGTACAGACTTCTCTTACTTTGTGAATGGCTGCAATAAGTAATTAATCTGATTATTAAACGTTTTATAAAAAAAAAAATAGTAAGAAGACCCTATTGCATGAACGCGAGTGTATAGGAACTTAAAAAATTACATATTTCATTTTTTTTTCAATTTTTATAATATTCATATGTGAAAAATACTTACACAATTAAGAAGAATTTAACGACACCGCCCAAGCCAAAATCCATCAGGACGTTTAGACTACAGAGCGTATCGAAGAAATATACATTAACTTACCGACAGTACATGTAATTAAAGATTTGATTGTTTCAGGCGATCCGAAATCTTGTTCATCAGATGCAGTGCATGAAGAGAAACCTGAAGAGAAAGACAAAGAAGAAGAGGAAGAACAAGAAGAAGATATACCTGAACCAGAAACAAAAAAGACTAAAGAATCTCATAAAAATAGACAGGGCAAAGGAAAGAAGAAACGCAAAGGCCATCATCGTCACGGTAAACATTCCAAAAATCACAAAAAAGACTCACATAAATCAGATCATACTGAATCAACAAAAACACGACACAGCAAAAAGCAAAAACATAGTAAGAACAAAGATAAGGAAGGGAAGAAGTCTAAACAAAAGAAGAAGAAGGCCAAACACCACGACCCAGAACCTGTAGAAGTCCTCAAACGGAGTGCCTCTCAAGAATCCTTAGAGAGCTCTAACAGAAGTAGGAGTGCCAGCCCATTACCCTCGATACATACGCCGACGCCTTCGCCAAGTGAGCTGGACCAGACAGAGTCACCAGATCAACTCAATGACTCCGATTTTGTAAAGGATAAATACGACAAAATAAAAGAAAGGAGACGACATGCAAACAAGGATGCCTGGGAATCACTCTTCGATTACAAACAAAAAACTGTCGATAAACAAAAACAAAACTTAAATATTCCTGAAAAAGACAAGAATCAAAAGTTGAGAGAAACCATCGAAAAACTAAAAGCTAAAAATGAAAAATATAAAGACAGGTCACTTTTTAATACTTTATTTGCGGTTAATCACAGTAATGCAGACAAAATGTCTGAGTCAAGCAATACCAATGATTTAACAATAAGAGAAGAATCTGAAGATGATCCATCAGATAGTCAAACAACAGTGAAATCCTTTATTAAGAAAGGTTACAAAAAGAATTCTGCCAAAAATGAATCTGCATCTGAGGCGCTTGAGCAAGCTGTAAAAGATATCAGTAAGTGGCTCGATGACGCCCCTAAAGGGTCAACCATGAGCTCTCCCTGTGACAGCCCAGCTCAAACAATTTCTACTGAAGAGCATGATAATAGTCGTCTAGATGATGACCTTTCTCAAAGCGAAAAGCCGCATGCTCGGAAAGAGATTTCTCGAAAACGACCATCGTCGCGTGAACCGAAACTGTTAAAACGGAGAGAAATTCAAAGAACTATAGACCGACTTCAGCCAGGCAAAAGTAAGGGCAATTTGCTCACCAATATGTCTAATAAAAACACTGAAAAAACAGAAGAAGTCACACCTCTAGGCCCACAAAACAAAGTGCGAGACTCGCAAAAAGCAGAAGAGCCTAGCCCAAAACTTAGCCTTGGATCTGTTTTACACACAGTTGAGTTTACTTTGGGTAATGACCACAATTTTGCGCAAAATGACGAAGGAAAAAAAGAAGATCAGAATAATATTACCAAGGTCATTGAGACAGAGAAGAAAGAAGAAAAAGTTGAAGGTGTACTATCTGAGAAAAAAACTGAAGAGTTAGTTGTTCCAGCGACCAAAAAAGACGCAGAAGTAGAAACTGAAATACAAATACCAACGAAACCAAGTCAGGAAAAAGCTACGCCCAACCTTAGCGCGTGGTTTAAAGCTTTTGGAGCGCCAAAAACTACGACAAATATAACTCCAGCGCCTATATTGAAAAAGAAAGTTGGGGAAGTTGATTCGGAAGTATCAGAAAAGGTGACTGAAACTCTTACCAATGATGCCAAACCATGCAGTCCGAAAAATCCTGTTAAATATGATTCACCAACAGGTCCTGACACTCTTAATCCCGAAGGAGGAGATAGTCCTTTGCCAAATGTAGGCACTACGCCAAGGCAAAGAAGGACCAGCACAGGAAGTTCAGTTTCTGAGAGATCGTCCTTCAGTCAAGATCTCGATTCACCAAGACATCAAATGTCACACACTTCTCCATTATTGCGATCACCAGCCTCGCCGAGGACTGAGGACTTCCAAAAGATTACTTATCCCATAATAAATGGTACAGTAAGAGCTGGGTTTTATCAAGACACAACGTCAATGAAAAGTAGTCCCGAAAAAAGTTGCAGTCCAAGGGAAGCCCCACAGTCACCATATTCTCCATATTCCCAACATGTTTACGCATCCAATAATATCACGGGCTCTTCAACTCCTAATTATTTTGTAGATCACACCAAGAGTCCCCTTCCTACTTACAATCAAAATCCACCTCCATTTTACGATACGTCGAAAACTCCTACGGTAAATAAGTCAAATCGAAATCATGAAGACTATACTTGCTTAGCTCAAGAGCCATACCAACAAAATCAATATACAGGTCCATATTCCCCCGTTTACTCTCCTTACTCACAGGTAACAACTGCAAATTATTCTCAAGTACAACATTCTCCGCAAATATCGACGTCAGCCAATGCAGTTGTATCTAGCACTACACCATTAACAGCAGATTCAAAAACTCCTCAACTGTTTCCCGTGAAGAAAAGAACATATAATGAAACGGAACATACCCCTACGTCCATTACAAAAGATCCAGAAATTAAAGAAATGTCCGGATCGGCATCTAATAAAACTGAGTATGCAAAGCTGCCTTCCAATTTACATTCAATACCACAAACATCAGTAGATGATATAGCTTTGGCTTTAAGTGAGAAATCTGAAATGGCTAAATTAAATAGCTTACGTGACAAAACTGCTGCGGATTATGCAGAAAATAGAAATAATATCAAGTATGATAACAATGACTCCTTACAAAATACTAAGAAAAGCATTAGTATTGAGAACAAACCAGCTGATATGGTTAATATGGGTTACCCAAGTGTAGAAAATGAGAGAAGGAGTACCAACGACATTCATACTCATGAAGTTGAATATTTATCGCGAGATTTTCCTAAATCGAGTATAAACTCACATAAAGGATATGATGTTGATGCGATTGCCATTAACTTGGGTTTAAATACCCAAGCTCTCCAAATGACGTTGCAGAAGCCTATACCTCCTGCGCACAGTCAGGATAGATCACAACATGAAATGAATTTGAATCAAAATTTGGTACATGCACTTCATAGTCAATACGATGCGATGGCCGGAGTACAAGGTATTAGTAACTTTTCATTAAGTGATATAGATATGGCCAATAAAAAGTTGTATGCTTGTAGTTCTGTTCCTTCCAGTACTGCACTTGATTATGGTAATTGGAAAATGTCAAATCAGATACGTAAACAAGATTTAATTCCGTCTGACTATTCCACATCTTATGGTGCAACAGCTGCCGAAAAATTGAAAAATGAGATAAATGTTGCAAATTCTAATGCAGTCTCATATAATAAAAACTTGCAGCATCAACAGTATAATTCATTTAACGCTAGTCCAAGACCAAGTCTCCAAAGGACTCAAGAACTCCAACAGAATCTGCCGGGCGAATTAAGAATACCAAACCCCCGAGGACTTCTTAAAAATGACCATATGGTTACTTCGTCTTCAGTAAGTGATACAGATGTTTTATCCAAAAATATAGATACTCATACCAAAACACAGAAAACCGATAAACTTGTACAAAATCATCCATTGGTAGGGTCAAATCCTTACAAAACTCCTTACAGTACTCCAGCGTCGCACCCACTCGACAGTTTGCGTAATTTGCCTAATATACCTCAAATGCTGGAAAGATACACAAATGATGAAAGGTACTTGTCCACTCTTGCAAATAGTAGCACATCTTTGTACCATGACAAGTATCAAATGGCTCAAATGTTCAACAAAAGCATTTCTTCGGATGTACATCCAATTAGCACTTCAGTTAGTATATATTCCCAACCATCAATATCGATGAGTAAGGATAACAGTGTTTATAAATCGTCCAGCATACCATCATCGCAAATGGATATTAAAACAAAGAATAAACGTAAGAGAACCTCGGATGTTAAACAAGCAACACAGATTGTGGGTAGCCAAGCCTACCATCCAACTTCATGCAACACAGATGTTTTGTCTTCTGTCAAGTCGAGCATGTTGCCAGGAAATGCATTTAATTTTGGGACCTCAACTAATATGGCTTTAAGTAGCGGATTGTACGGTGATAGTGGCAGCTTTTCTATTGAAGATTTTCGCAACAATCCACAGCATCAATTAATGGCAGCAAATTATATGGTTGCTGCAGTTGCTCATCAGCAACGCACCAGTGCAGAGTCAAGCGCCGAGAAATTAGTAAAGCCGGCCCATCAGAATTCTGCGCATCCTGCAAGTTCTTATAGTTTCATTGGACATTCACAAGTTCGAGGTGCTTACCCGTTTGTTGGAACAGACCCGACGTCACCTATATATCAACAGTATTTGCAGCGTCACCAAGAAGAACTACTGCGTCAAACTGGTGCGCAAATCATGAGCCTATATCCTGCTGGCTACCCGGCGAGTCTCGGAGCCCGGCAACCTTACGACATTAATCGACCCTCATGGCTATAAACAGATCCACTGTAGAATAGCGAAACCTTAAAATAATCTTGGTAAATAATCATTAAATGTGACAATTGTTATAGGAAAATGTAATTTATATTGTTTGTAGCGATAAAGTAGCATTATTGTGGAGATATTTTATAATTATTTCTTATTAACCTTATATTATAGTGGCAATGTTATTTTATATCATGACAAGTTTATCTCTGATAGACTATAACGGAAATGCTTATTAACTCCTATGATAGTATTGACACAACCTGTGATCACTGTTGATGGACTGCTTCTTGCAACATATACATCGTTGAATGCTAACATCTAACTGATGTTATAATCTTTTATAGAAATAGAAAATGTTAATGGTCACAGTTGTATACCTGAGTAAGATGATCCTTAACACTATTTAATTTCCATTTCATCGTTTAACCAATTGAGTGACGAAAATAATTGAGTGATGCAAATTTATGATTTTATTATATGATTTCACCAATTGTTTTGAAATTGGTGAAATCATATAAGTTATTAAGTAGATTATTATCATTATTAAGAAGTAGTCTTAATACACTGTCATAAGGTATTTATACTCATATAAATATTAAATGTTAATATTATTTAATTATCTTTATTAATGATGCTTATAAGCTTCTTTAGCTTTAATTTACTGAACATTAATACCATTTTATAAGGTCACATCAAGTAATAATTGTTATTATATAAATTTAAATTTTACGTTATACTACTTAATTTAGATTGTTGTGTAAATATTTCACTATTTTATTTACGATCAACGTTTGTAGCACTATAAGTATTTTCGTTAAGAATTAAATCAGTTAATATTATAATAATATTTGTCAACTTAGCATTAAGAAATTCATATAAGAATTATTAAAATCAATTCTTCATGTGTAAAAATAAAGATTTTGAAAATACTCAACGTGTTAATAAAGAGAATCAGATTATTCCTCATTTACCCTTGACTGCTTACTTGTAAAATATAGTGTACAACCTGTTTCAGGTTAGGAATATATCGAGTACTGTAAGAATACTCTAATATTTCGAACTTGGGGGACTACTGTCCGAATTATTTACCTGTCATGATTAGATCAGTATAGATACTTAAACTAATATTAAAACAGATTACCTCTTTGTTTGTGAGTTTGGTTTGGTTCCGTGTGGTGACGGATTAAGAATACATAGTGTCACCACCCCTCGGACCGTCACCCTACCGGGGTTTGCGGCGGGGTGGTGTGTCGGACTCGGACCGACTAAAACCACACGGTGTGCCACTCTGCGCCTGTAATAGGAGGGATCCGGGAACAGCTTTTATTAAGACATCCGCCCTATACCAACCTGTCTAGCCAGCGTGGTATAGTAGTCCAAAACCTCCTCTCTATAGAGAGGCTTATGTCCAGCAGTGGACTAGTAAAGGCTGTTGCTGATTGTGAGTTTGGATGTTCGGTGTAATCTCAGGAACTACTGGTTTGAATAGATAAAAAAAAATTAGTGTCGGATAGTCCTTCTATCGAGGACCTTCAATATGACATCATGCTATGAACAACAGAAGTCTAGTTTCAATAAAATGTTGCAATGGGAGAATTTATTCCTTTTGAAAGAAGCAGATGAACTCGCACGAGTCAGCTAGTACCTACTAAAATACTTTCCAAAATGGCATGATGAATAAGAAACTAGTTGCATTTGAACTGAGAGCTTCGTTTTTCTACCTAGTTCACTTCTATACACAAAGAGTGAGGAAATTTATTCTCTTTATAATTTTTTCTTGAATTTTATTTTAAACATTTTAACAGTTAGTGTGCTTTTCAGGTCGGAGACAAATTAAAAAATCTGTCCAGATGCTTCGAGGCATAAATGGTGTTACTAACCTGTTTTATTTAATAGTATAGAACCTAATACAAGAGAACGATACATTGTACTAGCGTGTACCATTTGCAAAAATTGAGAAAATCACTAACCTGTAGTCTAAAGTTCTGCAAAACCTGTATCAGTATATTTGGATTTACTACTGAATTTTTGTGCTGTCTAGTTATAAAATATTCATTTCTGTTTCTCGGCATCTACGGTCAAAATAGTTCACTAGATCACAGCTTTTGTGTCAAATTGTATATCAAATATGTAGGTACAATACATTTTTCTTATTTTATGATATACAGGATCTGTTATTATTGGGCCAGGTTATTACTACATGAATCTACACTTTGTTTAAAAGAAAATAATAGCAGAACATGAGGGTTTTTATAGTAGCAGTACATAAAAAATCTAAATTAATAATTCTAATACCCAGAATTTTAAAGTAAATTTCTAATATCTTAGAACGGCATGGTTACTTTTTCTATTGTAACAGTTTTTATTTGCTCTAACTACCCTTTTTGTACCTGCAAAAATTAGATGGCAACAGAGACGAGTAGTATCAGTGATATGTGCTATCATAAACAGACAGTATACTTAATTGCTTCTTACTATTTTATTATTTGAGTTTTCGAAATATATATTTTACATATAATAAGAATATATAACAAGTCTCAACAAGAGGAGACTCTAGGGTGAAGTGGTCATCATAGTGGCCATCCAAATTATGTAGCAGTTACTCTATGCAAATACAATTCTTTAACTAGATAAGTTGTGTGTGCATGTCAGATTTGCAGGCCTTCTCACCCTTTAAGCCTAAAGTTGTTGTCACAGTATGACTACAATACACTTTTTCCTTGGTATTCTTGATAAAGTATCACTAAGCTGTAAGCTTGTGTTGAAAAGAGCTTTATCAGCTATCTGAAAAATACTAGATATTAATTAAATATAAATGGAAAGCACATCATTCTACATTTCCATAGTAGTAAGCAACTTTAAACACAAGTAAAACACAAAATATAAATAAGATTTTATTAATCTTGCAATTAGAATGAGACATTTATAGGCTTATAATATTGCTCAAAGAATCATCACAAGCAAGTATATTAGTCATTAAGAGCAGATTTATCGTTACAATATCTATTCATAAACAATATTAGAAGCACTCTTGTATTAGTTGGTCTTCGGATCACTTTGTTCCTTCCTCTGCTGTACCATTTCTCTGATATTATCTTCACTTTCTTTTAGATTCTTCTCCAGATAGTGCTTATTGTTTGTTAATTCTGTAGTTCGAGCTGTTAGTTGAGTTTCTCGATTCTTAAGATTCGTCTTGACTTCATCTAAATTTGTAAGTAGAAACATTCTGCCGACGGATTCATAAGTTTTAGTACCAGATGGAAATGTACTGATCTCACGCTGAGTAACATCTACATGTTGTAATACACGCTTCAACATGTCTATTTGGGAGTCTATTATTTGAATTTTTTCACTAGTCTCGACCATTTTTAGTTGCAATTCCATGAATGCCTTTCTCAATTCCATATCTACTGGTTTAGCCATGTCTGGAAAAACTACTTTATAATTTCGCCTTCGGTTCAGAAAAGTCTCACTGAGGTTATTTTCAAAGTGAGTATTTTAAATGTCAAAAATAGAGACTTCAAAAGTGAGTTATTTTTATCGATATAGAAATTAAATTCCGTTACTGATGTTTTATACTAACAATAAAAAAATAAAAATGATCCACCCTCATTATGTAGTGTACTTTTAGTAATTTCTCGTAATTTACTGGCCAAAAAGAATTTAAAAAAAAAATGACGCTAGAGTTTGTTATAAATACTTAGTAAAAAGAAATAACAAATTGTTTAATTTTACGAAATTGAAATACCCTAATTTAGGTTAAATTATGGGCTTGTCTAAAGTGGAAGAAGACTTGAAAGTAGAGAGAGCTTTTACCGCGCGTTGTATCACGATGACTGTGTAAGCTTCAACTTACCGTAATACTAATAAAATTAATAATAATTATGCGACACGGCTCGTAAAGTGTGGAGGTTCTTGTCTTTGGTGCCCTAACTACTGGTGTCTTAGTCGCTATATAGTCCAGCCAAATTAGACCTGAAATCAAAAATTTTGGGACTTAACTTTTGTATTTTGATATAATGTAATTTGAATGATATTGAAAACAATGTGTAAAGGTTTTCGTGGCCGCTCGTTCAACTCGAACCCAACGAAGAGCAAAGCAGTGCAAATATGCGGTGAAACGATGAACATACTACAGCGCAATCTAACCGAGACACACCGAACTACAGAGTAACTGCTAATCCTGTATCACGATATGAATAATTCTCACGCCGATTAACAACATATATATTTACTCCCCCACAACGATGAGCGGTGATCTAGTCTCAGAGAGCCAGCAACCTTAGTTGCAACAGGGATAATCAGCCTGGAGCGGTTGCCACCTGCACTGACCTGCAGGTAGTACCCGACCCAGGCTGATTACCCTACCGCCTCATCATCGTCTAGGCACAGCACACTGCACCTACAGTCCACTTAAGAAGAGCATCTCTCTTCCGTCTAAGGAGCAGCCAGCCACTACGCAGCAACCACACGCAGCACGACTCATGTGGGGACTTCACCACAGCACCGCTCACCGAACGAAATCCTGACTCATTGGGATCAGCGGACTTCAATCTCGACTCAGTTTCGACCCACTGGAACTACTCATCACTGGCACTGGCACGCTCCAAAACAGAGCATAGACAGCTGACTCATCAAAGTATCGACCTCCGGTCTTAGAGAGTTACTCCACAAGTATAATATGTACATGTTTCAAATGTAATTAGCATGTGATACAAAATTTTAAAAAGAAAAGTAATTATAATATTTATTGGGAACAAGAAAACAATATACTTACAACTTAAGGGTGTAAGTAACCCATATTAGTTAAAACTGTGTCGTCGCTATTAAGGTCCACTTCCAGATAGATAACAACAGCAACGTACCATATGTTAAATTACTAAACAGATTGTAATGCACATATGAAAGTACATTATAGTCTGATATACAAAATATGAATAGTGTAGAAAATTTTATGGAAAGGAAATATATTTGGTGAAGCAAATAGATTTTGGATTTAGGAATTAGAAAAAACACTTCTAATGGTACATACAATCACACACCAAAATAATTGTAAATAGATTTTGCCGTATTTTTTTTTTTTGATGGATATTATTCTTACGTCAATGAGTTTTTTGGTTATTGCAACTCTTGGCGTAATTTGCAAAGCGAAATATATTATTTTTCGTTTAATATTTTTATTGGTGCAGCAAATACATAATTATGTATAAGTTTAAACATTAAGTATTTATTGTTGGATATACCAACGAATGCCATGGTGAGTACAAATAAATAAAGTAATTATATAAAAAAAGTGAGTAAGAATCTTACATTGATTAATATAAAGGTCAGTTTAATAGAGTAATAATCTCTAACTTGATTTATTTAATTGATAAAAACAGTAATATAGCAGTCAGTATTATTTTCCCGTATATTTTATGTCTCCAAATCTTGTTTAGTACAAGATCAATAAATCAATTAATCTTTGTAATTAGAAATATCTCAATATTTGTTTTCTTACTTCCTAAATTACCTTATCAGTTCGAATTGTAAATAAATTGAATATAATGAAGTGGATAGCTTCTTCAACAATTACTTGTTTGTTTATAACTATTTCTCCTCAGTGGTATTTTTTTATCATAGTAGGTACATGCAGTAGTAAATCCAACATGCCGCGGGATATTTTGAGTGATAGTTTAGCTGTCCTGAAGATTGTTGAGGTACATTTTCTATTTCACTATTATTTTATTATTAAATTCATTGCACAGACTTCTTTATCTATTATCCTTACCTATTTATTACCCTGGGCAGAATCTGTTAATTTTGATAAATGGGAGAGTATGATATTAAGAAATGGTACCTTCAACATGAGCTTTCTTGAACTCATGGTCTGTCTTGATTTATATTAAACGGATTGTGAAAATTTATAAAAGAACCTTATTTTTTCTGATGAATCATAAAAGACAGTTCACCAGATTGGGATATAAATTTTTTGCAAAATTTCATTTTATACAATTTACAATGAATAGCAAAAACATTGCATAACATCTTAGGGCTGCATAGGGCTAATGGGCAAGAAGCCCAATAATGCTTCAGTATATTGTAAATATTAGCAAATCATTTATATATTATGTATAATTGAATGTATTTTGAAAAAACAAGACAATCTTCAATTATTTTATAATAATGTCATGTTTTGTTTAGTAACAATTGAAGTCCATGCTTTTATGCTAGCACATAATATTTATAGTTCATTGTTATTATTATTTAAAATATTAGGGCAGTTATTATCTGCACAACACAAATCTAAAGTATATGATTTGAATGTCACTGTTACTTTATCCAATTCACAATGGGATATAGCATATTATATTAATAACCAGCAATCTGCCCTGGCTTCTCACGGGTGCAATGTAGATACTGCTACAACAAATGTGTTGTCAGTGTTGAGTAATTAAATATACTATTATTATGATAGGAATATACTACGGGACATCTTTATATGCAATATTTATAGGCCCGCTCCAATCATGCCCTCCGCTGCCACCCGAAGCAGCGACCGCCGTTGCGCCCACTTTATAAAGCTATAATATCTTCGTAAACATTCATTTTAATAATATGCTGTATAGAGCAATTTTAATCTACATTAAATGCACAACATATCTAACATATTTAATTGTATAAGAAAAAATAATATATTGCTTAAAATTGCTTCTTAAATAACCCCTTTTTTTGTAATATTGTAATATTATTTTGTATTGTATTGTAATATTTAAAAGACAAAAATAGCTACCGATGGATAACCATCGGTAGCTATATGTCTATCTCCTAAGGATAACCTTAGGAGATAGACATATGCCATTGCAAGCAAGTTAAGCAAACCTCAGGAATAAATAAATGCAAGTAATTGTTTTTTTAAATATTCCATATTGTGTTTGGGGCCTAGGTTTTCATACTAGCTTCAACTTATTTATGATATGTATTTGTAATACCATTATTTTTGTAATATTTCATTTATTTTAGATAACTATCATAACATAGTCAATTAGTGTCATTTGTTAATGTGTAATATATTTAGTAATGATGTTTCAGCATGAAGATGAAGAAAATTGGCCACTTGAAAATAAACCTCCATGTAAACAGAACAATAAAAAAATATCTAACATTTCTTTGAACAGCCAAAAACCCTTTACTAAAGATGACTGTGCATGTTATTATAATTATGGGTATGATTTATAAATTATATTTTATAAATAAATATATCATTATACATTGTAGTTACTAAAATCTAAATTTTATCACTGGGTTTTCAATTGCAAAGTACAGATAATAAGAAAAAAAAATAGATTAAAAATTAAAATAGTTTTTGTTAATTACTCATAATATTTTGAGTTCCGAAATGATTTCTTCATGTTCAAATAACAATTATGGAATAACATACAATAATATTAGTTCAGATATTTAGATTAGACAGATTAGTTAATATACTATACTATTTATATTTAAATGTGGTCTTTAAACTTACACAGTCATGGGGATAATGGTAGCAGCAGACAGCATGATCCTGTATACCAATATAAAACAAGCAGTTTGCCACCTGCATCATCCATCAACCAATCATGGGATGAAATAGTTTGCTCAGCACTTCGCATCTCTCCTGAAGATATTGCAAATCAATTGACGCTGCTTGATTTACCTGTTTTAAATCAATCAAGTCTGAAGAATTGACTACCTGTGGATGGAATAAATTGAACAAGTTAACAGTTGCACCAAATGTTGTAGCATTCACCAAAAGATTTAACAGGGTAAGAAAGAACAATCACAGATATTTCAATAACATATATCATATATATTATTTGTGTATATATGTATGTATGTAACTCATCAAGTATATTTATGTATGTATGTCTGTCCTGCTGTTTTTGTCCATCTCCTGAATTATTATTATTATCTTTTTAAAGCAAATAAAATAATTTATTTTTAGTGCACCTACTCAGATATTTCCCCACCACCCAAAGGTTCACTGAGAGAAATACTGAGAAAAATAAGTCCGCCATTGTACAATTAAGTTGTAATATGTGCATAAAGAATTAAATAAATATTTTTTCCGAATTACAACATGTAACTTTTTGGTAACTCTGTTCAAACAGTATTCACAAAATCAATTATTGTCAGTGCCTCTTATTGTACACTGAAACATTTAGGAGTATGTAAGATAACACTAATTCTGTTTCCAGGTCAGTTTTTGGACAGTACAAGAAATATTAAATGGTCAGTCTCCAAAGGCTCGTGCAGAAATACTGGCACATTTTATAAAAGTAGGAAAGAAATTACATGAATTGAACAATTTACATTCTCTGTTTGCTGTTATTTCTGCATTGCACAGTGCTAGTATATATAGGTTAGTAAATTTTTAACTTAATGTTGCACTTGTATTGTATATATAGAAATTGATTCATCTGTAAGCCTTAACTTAACTGTATATCCTTTGATTGGATGAGCAGAGGTAGAAGTGTATTTTGTGAGAGAGAACTAATTAAGAATTACAGGACATCACTCCACAGACAAATGTCCAGAATTTTGCAGTATATCAAAGCATTTTAATGTTTATTGTATGCATTCTTAACTTTCAAATGTGTAACCTTAAAGTTGTTGTTTATACTGGCCATAATGAACTGTGACTATAAAAGATACATGCCAACGATAATTGTTATTCATACATTAATCCATACTAGTATTATAAATGCGAAAGTGTGTGTGTCTATCTGTCTGTAACCTCTTCACGCTTAAACCGCTGAACCGATTTAGATGAAATTTACTATGGAGATAGTTTGATTCTTGAGAAAGGACAAAGGCTTTACTTATAGCTTGAGAAGGGGCAAACTTTTTACCGCATCAACCGACATACACGCGGGCGGAGCCGCGGGCAAAAGCTAGTTATTTTTAATGTACTCATTCAATACAGGCTGACAAAACCTGGGCGTGTTTATCGAAGAAGGATAAACAACAGTTTGATAAGCTTGCAGAACTGTTTGGTGAAAAGGACAACTGGACAGCATTGAGAGAATATTTAAAATGTATTCCATTGCCATGCATACCTTATCTTGGTAAGACCCTTTTTTTGTATCACTGCATAAACCATTATTGTATAACGCTTACAATATCAGAGTTCAATAAACCATAAACAGTGCGTATTTTAAACTAGTATATTGATTATAGCTCATTTCTTATGTCATGGAAGAGTCCCGAGCTGCTCGTTATGAGATTAGGGTAATGGTGGTGTGCGGTTTTAGTCGGTTCGAGTCCGATATGCCACCGATAGGTGGTATCCGAGGGGACTTCCGCACGGACAAAAAAAAAAGGGTAACGGTGGTGGTGTTTTTTATAATCGATTTAATTAAATAAACTTATCACCGTGAGCTCTTTCATACAAACTTATTTTGAACTAGTTAGATAATGCGAAACCCTATGTTATTTTTCTGATTAGTAGCGTACCTGAATAGCTGACGTTGTATACACGTTTTGCCGTTAACACATTTGCCTCGCACATACGTCTCACATTTTTATAGAAAATTGTACGGCGCTTGCTACACAACTTAGTTTTGCTTATCTCATTCCACAATAACCTATGGTCGCAGATTTATTGTTCATTGATTATAACAAACATGTCATAGTCGAGCTTTTGGTTGTTTACTCTTGTAGTGTCCAATCAAATATTACTTATTTATCATCAGAATAATTAAAAACTCCCAGTACTTGTCAGTTGTCATATAAATATGTTTATTTATGGTTTATTTTAAAGTAAATTTAGACTATTTTTAAGCATAACATTTTGTTTTCAGGAATATTCCTAACAGATCTAGTGTACATAGATATCGCGCATCCCGCGGGATCGCCTCATCGTATTGCAAAAATGGCAGTAGTATTGAAAGCTCTCGAAAAATATCAAACGTCTGAATACGATATTGCCCCAGTGCCTCACGTAGGGAACTATTTGAACAGTGTGCGCTATATTGAGGAGCTTCAGAAGTTTTTGGAGGACGATCAGTATAAGTAAGTAACTTAATTTACACTAAGCAAAACACGAATATACTATTATTCATGTTAAACGGCGCAGTGGCTATTATTTGCTGCTTAAATTTTTGGCTAAGGGTAGAAAATCGCCGTCGTGGTAATGCAGGAGCCAAGAGTCTGTTGTGTTGCCACTAAAAACCACACCGACCGCCGGCTTCAGGCGCCCTACTCTGGGGAAGACCCGGTCCATGTGAGTTCAGAAGGCCAATTCTTGTAATTAAAGTTCGTCGGAAGTTTCGTTAATAGAGGTTGATTGCCACTTCTTCTCATAAATCAGGGAAATGTGATAGATTAACTTATTTTTTCTAAACATTTGACAAAACAGACTATTGCTATTGTGTGTGTTGATCTATGACTTTAGAGTCTAACATGATTTCAAACAATGTTCATAAGAATTTTATGAAATAAACATGTTTTGATTTTATTACAGATCCCTCCCGAAGAGGGCCTATATTTTGATAATTGATATTTTGTAAAACTTTTTAATAATAATAATATTCTACCCAAACTAACCAGAGTTTGTACGTACCCATAGTAAACATACATACATTTTAAATACACATCGCACATAGAAATACCCAGATTAAATCAAACATTAAATGTTCAATCGAACATATGTTTGATTTGAGCGGGAATCTGTGAAAGTAGTGCTGAATCATTAGTGTTACCCAAGTAAAATGATTTTCTTTAGATTGTTGCTGAGTGTTAAATGTTGCCTTCTAGCAGTAAAGTCCGAGTTGTATTTAAATTAAAAGTATTTGAAAGGATTTACAGAAATAAATATCATTTATCTAACATATCTATAAGATACTATTTGGACAGGAGACTATTAGAGACAAAAAAATTCAGACCTGGTTTCACTCTTAGGTATATATTTTTATGGTAGAGGGGGCAAACGAGCAGACGGGTCACCTGATGGAAAGCGACTACCACAAGCGTGTTGCCGGTCTTTGAGAAAGGAGTACGCACTTTTCTTGAAAATTTACAGGTCGTATCGGTCCGGAAATACTGCAGACGATAACTTGACTTTTACAGATTTATTCTGTCTCTTTTTACACCAAGTTTTTGCATAAGTTAAGTATCTCACTGGCACACATTGTTCGTCTATTACGATGTATTACTGTTGTAGACTATCGCAAAAGTTGGAGCCCCCGTCGCCTCTCGGCAGCTGCACCGGGTCTAAAGAGTCCGTGAAAGAAGTTATCTTACAAGGCGCATCTAACATCGCATCCATTTCACCATCGCATAAGCTAGGCTCTGGCTCTCTGCGCCTTCAAGGAACGTGTCACCAGGGAAAGTTCATACCAACCCATCGAAAATGTCGCTCTCTTGGATCTAAGTAAGTAAAGCGAGGCTTCATATCAATTTCATACTACAACTTGTTTTACTGAGTAACACTCCTGCTATTAAGTAGAGTCCTGTTTTGACGTGGAGCTGCTGAAAAATTAATTGAAATTAGAAATAACTTATTTTATACTAATATAAATAATTACACAGTATGTAAATTTTTCAGTATGCTCTTCTCATTTCTAATGATCACTTTCTACACTTTTAATTCATTATTTATAATTATCCATTTACATGTTTTTGATTAATCTTATCGTTAAATTACATTGGCGCATTTTTTGCAAGAAAAAAGTGCATTGAATTAACTTAATCCCTAAGACATAATCATGTTTTCATGTGAAACTTTATTTATGTACAGTGTATTTATCTTAACCCCTTGCGGTTGGTACATAGGTTTCGTAGCGCGAGCTTGCCAAGAAATTTTCACAAGGTCAATTTTGGTATGGGGTGAGTCTTTTCCTAATTAATGGACACGAAGGCTTGCGATGTAATTTTGTGTAGACAACGATTGTATATGATATGTATATTTTATTAAAATGAGTGTAGAAATAACAAGTAATTTAAGAGCATGTTTTCTGTTCGTATTCTCTTCTGTTTCTTTTTTAGCTCAAAGTATCGAGTGTTAAAATCGGACGAACTATTGACATAGTAAAATACTCTTGTTGAAAATTTTAATGACGCTCGACACATCAGTTTAACAAAGCGTATAAATAATAAAATGCCGGCGGGCTTAACTGATTAGATACATTGTAGGGAGACTGAGCTATCAGCTATTGTGCGAAAGGACAGATATTTGACACTTGTCTTATGTTTAGTTCATTTAGTTACAACTTAAATTACATATTTTATCGTTTCAGTCTATATATAGTGTTATATATAATATAGGTGCTAAGTAATTAAACTTAGCACTACGAGGTTATCCGTTCCTCGAAAGCAGGTTATGCCGTCGGTCCTGTTCGCCATAAATACGAACATCTGTGGCAATCGTTACGGTTAATTAGAGCCACTAAAAGGTCCGAGAACAGTCTTTCTACAGAACTTTCATAGTTACCTGGACTGTGGAAGTCTAATGGCAACCGCTTCGCGTAAAAAATCTAAGTTCAGCCGTATCACAGTAGACAAAGCCGACCCCAACCTAGTTTGATAAAAATTACTTAGCTCCCGAACTCGGTTGAGGATACGTTGTATAAGTTGTAACCATTTGAGTATCCGATTATTTTATATGGTTATGACGCTTATAGTTTCTGAATAATGTTTACTGAAAACACGAGTTCATTAATGGCACTAGTCGAATTATGTGTACTGGTTATTTGATCAATGTTTATCAGTATTTATAAAGGATTTACTGATTTCGCCATGTCATGTGTATATTTCGGGGATGTCTGACTCGTGTTGGGTCCCCTATTCATTCCGTGGGTGTCGAAAAAGGCGACTAAGGGAGCAAACTACGCAGGACAACAGCACTGCAAAGAGAATGAAAACTTGACACAAACCCTATACCTACCCGTCTGCCCAGCGTGGTATAATAGGCCAAAACCTCCTTTCTAAGGTCCAGCAGTGGACTAGTAAAGGCTGTCGATGACGATGATGACTCGTGTTGGGTACCGAATAGTAATCCCGTCGGTCCAACGTATAGTATAGTAGGCGTAAACTTCCTTTCTAAGGAGAGGCCTATGTCTAGCAATGGACTCTTGTAGGCTGTTGATGTGATGTGATGTGAAAATAAAATCAGGAAAAAATACTTGCCCCAGGTAAAGCGGAGATGATTGTTCTCCTCGACTATGACTTTACCTTAAAACTATTATAGTTCAGCTATTTTGCTCTATTAGCCCAGTCATATTAGGGCTTTCACCTCGGAATGAAAGATAATAAGCTGCAAATTGGTATGAACCTTTGTTTTGTCATTCTAAATGTTGTCTCAAAAGTCACAATCGTTATCGTGTCCGCGTCTCAAGATATTCAAGGTCAAAGGTCACAAAAATCGGTTTTTCGCGAATATCTGGCTTCCTATCGGTTAAATGAGATTTGCATTTATTATAAAGTTGTAGGCTATAAAATTCCCTACAACTTTTGTTAAAACTTTTTTTTCATACGACCAACCGTTTTGAAGGTAGAGCGCGAAGAGTGCACATCGTACAGTCATATACGGCCTAATGCAAGGTCAAGCGTGAGTTATGGTTATCAGTACGTTATAAAGTCAATTATTTACTTGGAAATTATAATTATTAAACAATGCCTATTATTTATGTACTAACTATTAATTATTTATATTTAATTAAAGTAAGTAACTTGATTATTTATATATAATTATTCATATTTAACTATTTAAGTATAAAATATTATTAATTCTGGATTATATATTTTAGTTTTATTTTAAGTTAAAATGATAGTAAGAGTATATATTTTACACATATTTTTATTTATTATTAAATACGGCATAATATACATTTATCAAAATGTGAGTTCAAATATCAAAAGTATCTTTGTTGATTTTAATTGTAATGAAATTGGAAATGGAAGCTAATTATCTTCTTCTTGTTCGTCGTCTTCTTCTTCTTGTCGCTCAAAAATGTTCGATTCATTGTCATCATCCTCATTATCTGTCATGTTCATCTCCAACCTTCCAGAATATCGGGATCATATGTATTTTCTTCATCGGATTACTTGGATGCAGTGAAGCGTTGAGGCAAGCTTGTCCGTTGCACTGGCCGCAAGCTAAAGAACATTGTAGCCCTGATTTTCTGCATCCACAGCGGGAACCACAACCATTTTTGCAATTGCAAAATATTACGTTTAGTAGTTCGGCTGGTGCTGGAGGTAATAACGTTCGTATGGGCTCCAGGATTTCATTTTCAAGCATCCAGCCCCATTCTTGAGGTTCTAAGTCCTTCCCTAACCACGTTTGAATCTGGTAGTAGACACGTTTTATGTGTTGATGAGCTGCTACACTTGTTGGTGGAAGTGTTGACAGTTGTACAGGTTTATTTAGTTTTGTAAATTTGATGAATTGCGTGTAGCGGAAATGATCAATGTTGTCCTCAGATTTTGGAGCATTATATAATGCCAACAAGATGCGCACTCCATTTTTCTAATAATGTTTGTTTTGGGCAGTTTTCTTGTTGAAATACTTCCACCAGTTTATCTAAATCAGGAATTTTTTCCAATGCTCTAGTAACAGTTTTTTTTTCCTTTTTTAAATAGCGCAGAAGTCGTGTCACAGCCACTGAATGCGTGTAAAAATAAAATGTGCTTTTTAGTACGAGGATATTGGTCAAAACTTTTAGTAGAATATATTTGTGTTTTGACATTGCCTTTGCCAACTTTTTTCAAAAAAAATTCCTGATGATGTGACTGAGTACGTCCAATTAAAATAACGAGCAAATCGATATCTTCTCCTATGATGACAGCAGTCTTTTGATGTTCTGATAAGGCAATAGCTGTGTCAATGATGAGAACATCAGCATCATCTCTGGCTTGTTTTGTTGTGATATTAACAGTTTTAAATTTTTCAACAAGCATGTCGATAAATTTTTTTTATTAGACCGATTTGATAAAAAAATTTCTTGACTGATTGGCACAACCATTGTTTCGTCAAAACAAACTTCATATGATTTTGAAAGTGCAGCAGTTCTTCTTTGTTGTTCCAGTGCTTTAATATTTTTACTATAGTCCGAATATCCGTCAAATACAACAACAATTGCTGAGCCATAATGTGTTTGTAAATATTTAATGTACTTATTTAAAATAATAGATAACCATAACTCACGCTTGACCTTGCATTAGGCCGTATATGACTGTACGATGTGCACTCTTCGCGCTCTACCTTCAAAACGGTTGGTCGTATGAAAAAAAAGTTTAAACAAAAGTTGTAGGGAATTTTATAGCCTACAACTTTTATAATAAATGCAAATCTCATTTAACCGATAGGAAGCCAGATATTCGCGAAAAACCGATTTTTGTGACCTTTGACCTTGAATATCTTGAGACGCGGACACGATAACGATTGTGACTTTTGAGACAACATTTAGAATGACAAAACAAAGGTTCATACCAATTTGCAGCTTATTATCTTTCATTCCGAGGTTGACCCCTTTTTTTTACCTAATATGACTGGGCTATATGTTTTTTCTTATAAAAGTGTAAAGTACGCTTTAGCTGTTGTACATTGAATGGCAATAATAATATAGGTGCTTGCAAATCTTGAATAGTAAACTACGGTGACTTCAACAATATAAAAGAAAAAATATTACAAACCTCTCACAAAAAGTGTCAGAAATGCAGAAATAATATAAATGAATGTTTCTGAAAGTATAAAATATTTGTTATATGTATTCGTATGTATTACATTACAGTTTTAATTTGAAGTCTACATTTATTTAGAAACGTATAAAGTCACATTTATTAACTATATTTACGAAAGTGTAATAGGGGCATAGTTGAGGGTTAAATGATTTAAAACGTAAGACGTAACTTCCAACTAACATGGACGATTAAAAGTATTCAAACAATTCAATGCGATTGCATTAACGGAAATTAATGCTTTGTTTTAGGTGTATCTCTAGCGGTGTTGACGTTTTATCTCTTATTTTAGTTGTACATAAAGAGAAAGTCAACAAGGGTAAAGGGGAAATGATAAAAAAACTAGGTGACAATTTAGAAAGACCAGATTTAAAAGGCTGACAACGTAGTAGTGTTCCATTCAAAAACTAGGCTGGTTATATGTAAAAGGCATGGCTGTAGAAACGATAAATGTCTAAAGTCTTTATAAATGTAGGTAAAATGATTTGAGAAATTTTATGATATCGTGATCTGACATATGACATCTGAAATGTCATATGTTACATTTATTGTAATTGGGTCGATAATTTGATAAGAACAATAATCCCATTTTGTAACAAATGCGTGACGAGAGGTGGGTAAAGAATAATTATTTTTCAGCCGTCTCTAAACAACATTAACAACATCGTCATTTATTTATTTTTAAATATATTG